GGGGGGGAGGGACGGCGGGTTTCTCCACTAGATTTATCAGAAATTCGACTGGGGAATCAGTCGATTGGTTTTAATTTACCTCTTCGCTCAGAATTGTGTTTTTGGAATTTCTCCTGGGGATTTGTTATCCACAATTATTGCTGATGTAAAAAATGAACATTGCAGTTTCGGGAGATTATGATCTTTGCTGTGAATCAATTGTTAATAATCCAGGAGAAATGGGTAAGTGAGATGAATCAAATTTTACATTTTTCTAAAATACTGATTTATCTCGAAAATCAGTGGTTCAATGAAAAAATGTTTGAAGGATTTTCTAGTACCTCATGAAAAAAAAGCTTGAACAATAATTTGTTAATAAATGGATATTGTTTATACAGTCGAAAAATTCATTCATTGAAATAAAATGAATTCTCGGTGAGATGAATTTTTCAAAATTAAAATTCTCCAGCCGAAAATAATATTACCAATCCAAAAATATTAATCCTGGAAAAAAACTCATTACGTCGACCATCGTCAGTCATTTTGTATCGTTTCGTCATAATAACTAATTTATGATATAGCTCAATGAATTAATAATTAATAATGACAATTAAATGTAATTATACTGTACGACTTTGTTTCCTTTTTTATTAATAAATCCATGAACAATGTTTTTTGCAAATGTCGTGCTATTAAACTGATAGATTTCTAAATATATCAATCCAAGAGTAGAAAATCCAAATTAGTAAACCAACTTCATTGCAAGCGTGATGGCATTTATTATCGATAAACTTAATTAACATGGCGTAGAGATGTACACGAGGAACATAATTATCCAATTAATCATCGTGCAATCAATTATTCTTGTCTTATCAATTACGCAATGCATTTATCCGTAGGGTATATTTATTAATAATTCCATATCGTATAGTATTATTCTGAAAAAATTTGTTCAATTCTCTATAATTCATCTTCAATTTGATTTTTCCTCGATTCCAGGTGTCGACAGAAGTCTGGCATTTCAATACACCATTCGATAAAACAGTGATCAAATAAACTAAATACAACAGGGAATCATTATTTTTTTGGAAGATACGATGAATTAACGGATTTAAAAGTGAAATTTTTTCAAATCAATTGACCAAAATGAAAAATTTATGGCAATTATTCTCCACACGTTGTTTGCCTGTTCAATTTAATATCAAAGATCTCAAGGTAGTGCTCCAGTATTTATTCAAATAATTCTGAATCATTGGGCGTTGAGGGGTTTAACTCAATCGAGAGCTGTCATTCAGTGAATTATGTTTACATTTTTATCAGTCAACTCATAGTGCCACTTTGCACTTTATTTACTAATCATTGTTTTATTTCATTCGTTACTCAGGGTAATGTAGAGCAGTAATTTGTTTTAATCAATGTGCAATGTGAATTGGGAGGCCGGGCACCGCCCACCGAGCTATCACAGTCGTCTGGTGCCGCAGCACATACGTATACATGGTTCAGCCTTAAAACCTATACTTTTACATGTTCGTATTTCAATCGTCGTGTTTCTTTATTTTCTCCAAGTGAGGAATCAATCAGGGGTAGGGGACAACGACTGAATCAAATGCTACGACTGTCAATCACGCAATTGTCCCAGTGATAAATTCATTAACGAAGTAAATGAGTCGCTTCCGATAAATATCGATTAATCTCCGAAACGACGGATTTTAGATAAAAATATTAAAAGACTTTTTCCGTTGAAGATTTCATCAGCTACGAAAAAGGTCCTCTCATTTGTTTACGTTAAATCGATAGTTCTCGAGATAAATCGGAAATTGTGAGGAAAAAATGATCTTGATGATTTCTAACGGCAATTGAAATTTTGGGGATAAGAATTTGAAGAGGGAGTTTAAGTCGGAATTTTTTTGGTCGAACGAATTTATTTCTGAGGGATACGTCATTTCCTCGTTAATTCACTCATCACCGAGATAATTAAACAATCAACAAGACGCAAATAATTTGCCCTACCCCCATGAATCAATAACTGTATAATCGAATACAGCGCACACACTGCAACGGACATTACAGAGTTCGTTGTACGTTCGTTCAATAGCAGATGAAATAAACATAATTTCCGTGCAATTCACTGTCTCCACTGTCTCCAAACAAATTTTTACCGCCTCATTAACAGCATAAATTACCAATGAAAAGCCACAGTACGCAGACCACTGGGGAAGAATATCAAAAATATCATTTGACCATCTACAGCCGGGGAAATGATCAATTACGAAATTAATTGGAAAACATTGAACCGCACTGGACGGACTGTTGATTATTAATTCAAGAAAAACTCGAGGCAATCGTTTGCAGACAGCGCATACTCTTTCATTTTCATAATTTAAAAATAATCTGCGTGCGTATGGCAATGTCGCAATGACAATGAAAGAAAATATATAATTTTGAATATCTGGATAAAATGATATCAGTGAATTAATCGCCATTACAATAATTATCTCGATTATTCTCTATCGTTATGAATAGTATTAATATTATTTCAAATTTTGTTTTTCGCAGTTAGTCTTAAAAACCTGTCGTTTATTATTTAATTTTTCATATTTCTGTACTTTAAATTCCTAATAAACGCTCGGTATATAATTATGTACAGCAAGTACCGTTGCGCCTCTTGACAAAAAATTACCGCTGCGGCACATGCATCGAGACGACACGTAGAGTTTAAAAATATAATTGTTATATTTTGAATTTTAAGTTGAGTTATATTAATCCATGAATTTTATTTTTTTTTATCGTTATTATTATCTTGGAGGGACAGCACTTTGCTACGTCACGACGATGCAGAGCTGAACAAAGACTATACGTTGAACGTCGACACGCTCTCCAATGGCACTAATTACTCGTTAATAAATATTTAATCAATTGCTCTGTGGCAAGAGTGGTATCTCGGAATCTGGGGGAGCCAGCAAAAGATGTTATAAGGAACTTTCTGTGAAGCATAATGAGATCTACAAAATATTTCCCATAGATCCAGAGATATCGCGATAAAACCGAGGCTGGGTGACAATCAAAATAATTCGCCACATTGCATTGAGTCCTGAGGTAAAAAATGATGGATGTATTTTCGCAATTAATGGATCTACGCTCGACGTAATTGGAAGTTTTTAGGAAGCTTCAGCATAATAATTGAAAACAGTAGAAAAAATAAACTTTGAATGAAGATTGGAGCACGAGGTTTTGCTCACGATAACAGAAATAAACCGAATGACACCGAGTGTCGCCCACACGAGAGCGTGACAACTTGGCTCGACGTACCCCTGATAATCGCGTGAATGATTACGTATTTAACAGTTAAAGCGATATCTAACCTCGAATACCTTAATACTGTAATGAGCAACTGGTTACGAAGGTACCACGATGAGGTCGACGTCGATTTGTAGGGCAAAGGTCAGTGAATATCGTCCTCGTCGCTGTCATTGTCATACTTTGATCTGGCACCTCCATCACCATCACTCGAGCCTGAATCACTCGCTGAATCGTCCGATGGCCAACCACTTGGTTGTCCCTGTTGCGACGACTGATGTGATCCAGAATTTTGTTGCACCGATTGCAGGTGGTACTGAGGTTGCACAACGTGTTTCATTACTTTGTTGCGTTTACCAGTGCGTGGCAATGCCTCGGCGCCAGCACCGTCCAGCATTGGCTGGAGTATACGTCGACGGGCATTTATGAACCAGTTGTTCACCTGGAGCAACGTCAGATTCGTTTGACTCGCTATCTGACGTTTCTCGTCTTCCGTAGGGTATGGATGCTGAAACATTACAATTTTCACCGTTTATTCTCTTTTCTTAGCTTTACAGAATTTTTTTTACCATGAATTCTCTCAAGAGTTCAATTTTTCCATTGACCAAATCAAATAATATTGAAAAATTCTCAAAGCCAACAATTAAAAAAATGCTAAAAATGCAACTTACAACCAAATGTTGAAAGAGCCACGCCCGCATGATGCTGGTGGCCTGTTTGGGTAAAACCCCCCGTTTCTGTCTGCCCCCCTTTCTGCTACCATTTGCCCCAGAATGACTGGACGAGGCATTACATCCCTCCTCATCGTCCCCACTATCAGCAGGCGAGGGTGAGCCTGCAACAGTGATGTCTGACCAAAAAAATTCCATTACTCCAAATTCCCCGATGCTCTGCCTCACCACCAAAATAATCTACCTCCTCAAAAACCCATAAATACCGAAATATTTATCGTAGTTAGTATGACAGACATCCCCATACTCATTCTCCCTCTCCTGAAGTGGTACAAGCCCCCAATAGCCAGCCTCCTCAACGTAAATTCTATCGTTCAAGTACACGTCTTTATCAATGAGAGGATCTAGGATGAAGGGATCGATTGATAGGATTTCTGTGCAGAGTCAATTATACAGAGGACATAGAGAGGAAAAAATTGAGTAATTCTCATGAAAATACAATTATCAAGTCTGTAATTATATGGCTTCAACATAAAGGGTGTGAAAAAATTCCCTTCGCTGGTAAAACGAGGATGTAATGATGCAATTAAGGATGGGAAACTGACCTTGACCCAGGTACATATCACTGACAGAGGAGCAGGGATGAGCACCAATTTGTGAGAGGGGTGTGCTACCGTGGACTGTCGAGGGTGATGGTGGATCCTCCTGGTCCTGGCTGTCAGATCTCACCGAGTGTTGGGCTATTGATGCTGACCTTGGTGGCCTCTCCACGATGCTACCATCAATCTGCAGTGCACCCTGGCTAAATGTACTCCCATTCTCCGACAGTGCATCACCTCTGCTTACTCCGAGTCCGTTAGTTCCCGGCTCAACATCATTGCCTGTAGATGACAGCACCTGGCAAATATATGTCGCATCTAGCCGTCAGAGAGCAGGGGTGGGATTCTATCGTACCTCAAGAGGTGTACAATTACCTTATTCTCTTTATTTGGTTTATTAACTTGAGTTAATTTTGAGATCAGCTGCGAGGGGTAAAACGTTATCGTACGTCCATCCTCGGGGATTATTATTTTTTTTCTGATTGTCTCATCATCTTCGGAGGGATTGACTCCCAGGGGTGGCTTTTACCTACCCCTGGTGACATTCACCTGAGATACCTGGACCCTCAGGTGGCGGAGGGAAATTGACGTTTTTTTTACAGATCTAGTGTGTTTTACCACTCGGCTGATGGTTTTATCGATATTTGGCTTAATTATTTATGATTGTCTGTTAGTTTTTAGTAGCGTGGCACGAATTTTAGAATTTTCGTGCGAGAGATTGGTTTTCCAGGTTATTCTTGGTTACTGATTACAGATATCCGAGTGAACAGTAATTTTGTTTCTAGACGTTTTCGAGTGATTATTTGTTTGTCTTGACATAATTTGAAATTGATTGCAATGTTTCCGAGGGCTCGAAGAATTCTCGAGCGAAGCAGCGAGAGGAGGTAAATTGAATGGTTTGTTAAATATCGATTGATAGTTCCATCACGAAGAGGTGAAACAAGGGGTAAAGATAAAGCTCGTGGTTATTGAGGGATATCTCTGAATTTGAAAGAAATACCGAATTTTTCCCCGTGATCTCTTATGTGGAACCGAACGAGAGCTACAAAAAAGTATTCCACAAAAATTTCGCTATTTCTTCTGGATTCCGAGATACTCATCGAAAATTTCACCTACTAATTGAGAATTTAAGATATACTCGGATATCTTGAAGAATAACAATCGGCTTTCATACACCTCTTCTTCTAGAGGGATATCTACGTGGATATCGGGATTTGACTGGGGGGTAAGTTTGTTAGAGTGCCTTCGCATTTATTCACCAGTAATAAATGTCTAACCTGGAGTGGACTGCTGCCATTGCTGCCGCTGGAGGGTCCCATGTCGTGGCCATGATGGCTGTAATCGCTCCTCAATAAATTTTCGCTCTGCATTTTTCCCTTGAGACAGCCAATATACCTGTTGCAAAAATCCTTGCACAATTCCTGTACCTTCTCCAACTCCAGCAAATGAATCCGCAAGACTTGAATGGCTTTGATCATCTGAAAACAATTATTCAGATATTTTTTTTTCACTCGCACGACGCTCACTTATTCTCCAAATCCCATTCAACTGTTCCTCCCCACCGCAATCCCATTGGAATAAAAAAATAATGCTTTTATGGATAAGTCTTACCAAGCCGTCAATCTCGGGGTCATTTATCAGAAATGGCTTTCGGTCTCTTTCTTGGTGCTGGACAAAAGCTTGGATGTCCATGTTGAAGCTTTCGGAGGTGGAGTTGTCGGAGCTTTGGGTTGCCTGCTCGCATCTTTCGAAGAGTAATGCTAGGAGGGGAAATAATGGATGCTTGTATACAGCCCTTTTGTCAGCCTCGAATTGTGCCTGATCCTGGTGCGCTGTGTAATCGGCAACCCCGCTTGCAGGGTCCTGATCGTAGCCAGGAGTCACCATTGCTAGCGCCACGGCCGTACTACCCTCTTGCATCCTATCATTCCTCCGTTACTGCTTCCATCGTTCCTCCAGAATTACTACAATTATTCCTCCAGATCTGGAATATCAAATTCCCGGGCGTTTTTATTTCATTTGCAAGTCATATCTTCAGACTTTCACAATAATCTGGATGGCCAAAAAAATTCCTCTCAACTGTAAATTCAATTTTATCTTCAGTTCCGCGTATTCTGAATTTCAAATTATTGTTGATAATTTCAGCCTCGCAGATCAATTATTCCAAAGCATCAATAACTCGTAAAAAATCGTAAATGAAATTTCACCGTCTCCCAAGCAGTTGAATAATTCAGCTATGTGAAGTTGGCATGGAAGTTTGAAAAATCTAACTTTTTTTTGTTGGTTTGGATTGTACTCATTGAGTACTTGAATGTACCCTGTGCACTTTTTTTTGTACCCTCTTACTTTAGCCCTGAAGCAGGGGGGCAAAATCGTGCAGAATCGGAGTTCAAGAAAAAAAAAAA